TCCGCGTGTCGGTTACATTTTCAGCAAAATTTCAAAAGTATATTCATCTTGCACTACATAATTACAAAATTATGCACATCCTGCATTGCATAATTATACATCTTACGTTGCAGTTTCTTTTCAAACTTTCCTCACATACATCCTTCATAATATTATACATCTTACGTTGCAGAGTTTTTTTTAAACTTTCTCATACATCACATTGCACTTACCAAGCACAAGCACGTTATCGAAATTATGACCTGCCTGTGATGGTCTGTTTCTCGTCTTGGGTCATGATGTTCATGAGATCACTTGCTGGCCACGTGTCCAAGGTTTCAGTCTAAAGGGAGAAGAAGAAAGAAATGTTTAATGGTATGAAGAACGAGTGCTTTCACCAAGTCATTAGTGATGAGCAACGGTGAAAAGGTTACTAAATTCACAATTCATTAAGCGCATATAGGTCCTAAGGATAAATTCAGTATCTGATACTAATCACGAATAAAGCTGCAAAGAATCTGAAATTTAGACCTAAAGATATTTCTGTAAATTTTCCCCTTCCCTTCAGCTAGCCAATACCCGATCAATCCTGACCCATATGGACAATAAAAGCCACGACTCCTTGTTCTATCTGCACAATCTAGTCCTTTGTCCCAAAATCCACGCCTCCTTTTCCCCACCTGCAAAAAATGCATGCCCCTTGTCCTACCTACGCAATAAAAGCCACGCCTCTTTGTCCTACATACAGAAAATGACCCTCAAACCCTTGTCCTACCAATGCAATTTTAGCAATGCCTTCCTGTCCCACCTGCACGAAAGTCGTCTGAAGCGAAGACACAGTCAGGTTGGTGAAGGAAAAGGACCCAGCGACCTCTTGGCTTCCTCCCGCACAGTAGTTACGAAGGACCGAGGCGTCGAAGTCCTTAAGATTCACCTGGTTGACCTGAGGATTACAAACATATTATGAAAGGCAAATACTCTCTCGTTCTGATACAATGGCAAAATTTATTGGAAGAGGAGACGGTTTCGAAAATCTTCAGGGACCAAAGAGGAAACCAGAGAGGTCTTCCAAAACTGTGCTCTTGTTTGTGGATTTTTTTTACCAATGAAAACACTATTTAGATTTACATAATTGAGGACTTGGTGTTTCTCAAAGGATCCTGTGCTCATGTTGCTTTTTATTGCATGGAATTATTTATTATTAATCCAAAGATTTACCATAACTGAAATTAACCAAAATAAAGTGCAAAAACACATCTGAGAAACGAAAATGTGAAAAAAAATATATATATATACTAATCGATAATCACTACAAAAGAACGTCAGAAGATATCAGAATATAATCACCGTGGAATTCGTCGTGACATGCACCGCTGCCACCTTGTCAAAAGAGAAGGTGTTGGGGAGGAAAGCAGGCTGGTCACTCCTCCAGAAGGAATCGGCGAAACCGGCGTCTAGGATGTCTCGATCCTTCCCGAGATGCACCTCCTCGCCCTTCACCTCTCCTAAGAATATGGCCGAGTCTGAAGAGAGGAATGGAAGGCACTTTGGCGTTAGAAAAAATCTCCGCCAAGGATATTCGGTAAATGAAATATGTCAGCGCCTTTATTGTGAAGAACTGACTATTCTGATAGAAAACGCATGCTTTTAACAAAGTTGTATTTGCTTTCCCTTACTGCACAAATTATTCAGAAATTCTTTTTTCACCTAAGCCATTAGGCTAAGTATACAGGTGGATCTGGCCTTGCATAAAAATGGAGTGCACATTGTAAAACTTACCACAACAGAGGATTTTCATTCGTATATCACAGCCAGTCCTAGATATTCACTTCCCCACAAGTACTGCCGGATCGACAACACATACCGCTGTGGAAGTGATGGTAGTTGAAGGGGGCAGAGACGCTCTCCAGATCGACGCCGTTCACCAGCCCCGTGACATTGAAGTCCGCGCCGTAAAACGTTTCTCCAAGGAAAGTCTTGGTTCCGGTGAAGACGAGGACACGCTCCCCGGAGGGGTTGGACGCCGTCTGGACGATGCCCTCCGCGGAGAGGTCCCAGCCCTGGACGCGCCCGTCCACCGTCACTGGGCCCTCTGAAGAGACCAGTTCTGCAAAGCGGTGAGGGAAGGAGATAGAAATCGGGGGGAGGAGTAGATGGAGAGGAACAGGTACCAAAGGGATCAATAGTAGTATTTGTAGTTATTAATCTTAGTAACGTTCATATTATATAGTACAATTTTGTTAAATGTTGGATTGTTGGTAAAAGTTTCATGTGTTTCTTTACGCAAAAATGTTTGTCATGTACTTTACCCTCTTTTCTTCGGTGAATCTTGTATGTCATGTTTATGTTTAAATTTGTTGTATAGCTAGTCGTATTGATGCTAAGTAATTGTACAATAGACCAATATGTACATATTTATATTTGCATTTTTCTATAAAGTACGTTAATGCACAAAACTACGAAGACAGTCTCGCCCTTCTGCCTATCCCTCCCTCACCCCCCCCGCAAATTACTCACCGAAAACTACCGGCCCGAAGAAGGTCTCGGACTCATCCACCTTCATGGCAGAGGTGTTCAGGGAAACAACGTCAACGCCCTGGACCGTGACACCGGGCAAGGTCACGACTCGCAGCGCATTCATATTGGGAGCGACGGTCAAATGTCCCTTCAGCGTCTGGTTGGCCTCCTGCAGCAGCCACCCAGCCTCGTAGCGGCTGAACGGAACACCATCGAAGCTATCTGAATGTGCAGGGAAGAACGGATGTTAAAATTAAGATGAATCTTATCCATACTGGAATTGTTTAAACTGAATCATTTAAATTGAACAAGCTTTACCCATGAAGGAATTGTTTAAGGGGGCCGTCGCAACGAAAAAATTCAAAAATACTCGATTTTTTTTTTTTTTTTTTTACATCTCCTGTGGGCTTTGGCTATCTCGTGATGTAATATTTTTGCTAAATATGTAAAATTAAAGTTGTGACTAAATCTCAGACCCCCCGCCCCCACTCCGCTGTTTATATTGTCGCGTCCGTGAAAATTTACTCGACAAATTTGTTTTTTTCTGTATTTTTTTCGGTTTATTTTGGAATTCTCTGGTAGCTAGCTGGCAACTCTGTTTACCCATCAGCTGATCGCGAAGACTGCGGGTCTGGGAGACAAAACTCGACCAGAAAATCAGAGAGAAAGCTTGCCAGCTCTTAGCTCCATGACACCATACCGCAGTAAGGGTACACTTAATTGTAGATGCTAGTTTAGTATATGATAGACGTAATATGATAGGAAATACTTTTAAATCACAGCTGCAGCAGTTGTTTATACATTTAAATACCTCACGTCGTCAACGGGAATTTCTACAATCATTTGCAGTTATTACCATTAGTACTTTGCAAAAGAGGGGGGACCATGTACCAGCTACACTTCAGAATACCATGTGAACGCCTTAGAATGCATCAAGATTGCCGCAGAGATTAGAATTCTATAAAAAAAAAAAGAAAAAAAAAAAAATCGAGGGAAATCCAAAATTTCGGAGCCCGTTATTTCAAAACTACACTTTTGTCAACAATTGTCAGCATTTTTAAAATTCATCCAAAAATAATTGGGCGATACTAATGGTGTTTGGATAATTTAAAAGCTGAATATATTTGCAATGATTTTCCTAAAGAAAATTTTCTTTTTAGTCAATAATAGTCCATATATCATATCGTGATGTTCATAAGACTAGACATTTAGAAAAAAAAATAAATTCCCACTGAACTAAAACGAAATTTAAAACTCTGGTCTTTGCAAATTTTAGGTACTGCTATAGACTATAGATGGTAATTTTTTCAACAAATTTGTTCAATGGATAATTGTCATTTTTAAGAGGCTGTGATTGTTCAAAAACTTGTTTTTCGTTAATAACTTTATTATTTATTAGCCGAATGATACAAAACTTGGTGGTGTTCATCACTTTATATTTATGTATAACATTAAAAAATCACGAATATCCGACAATAACTGACGAACTTTGTTCTCGGGCGCGACGCCCCCCTTATATTGAGTGAACTTTATCCAAATTGGAATCGCTTAACCTGAAAGACCTTTATCCTTAATGGAATTGTTTAATTAAGAATATATGTATCACTTAGTGAAAGATTATTTTTTTTTTTTTAAAGGAAAGATTATATAGACATGTGCAAATAAATGTATATCGCCTTTTTTCACCCAAGTCAACGAAAACGGCTCAAAGAAATTACGGGAGACGTTAGTCAAACTAAACCTTTGCTAACCAAAAGGGAAATATTAAAACTCGATGCAAACGGTAAAAATACTAACCATGAAAACCTAAATTGTGGACTTCAGTGTTACCAAAGAGTACGAGATCACCACGGATAATACAGTCTTCATCTTTGTATACCACGTGGCGAGAGAAGCTGAAATCAGAAAATCAAGAAGATAGTTTTTTAAAAAGCAAATAGCAAGATGGAACCAACTTCAGCAAAAAAGGACTTCCAGTCTGAGTGTTCCGAGGGACCCGGAATTCAATCAAGAGAACTAGGCTACTATGCAAATATGATCCAATTCCGAGATGAAATGATATCGCCTGAAGGAAAAGACGAGAAGCATTTCATCTGCAAGAGAAAATGCATAATCTCCAGGCATCTAGATCCGGGAAGAAACAAAATGCATCTAAATCAAGTTAATAAATAGTAAACAAAAAATACTTATCAGTAACACACAATTGTACAAAAGTTAGTTTGGAAGTTATCACGAAAAAGACAATCAAGGAAGAAAATGCTTACTTAAAAGCGAACATAGTCAAAATAAATAAATAAATAAAAAACATGCATGAATACTTTAAATACCTCGTGAAATTCATTAAGTATGGGACACTATCGTCGCGCGGCAGAATGGTCAAGCCTTCCGTTGACAAATTTTTCTCGATCTTCAGTGTCTGGACTTTGAAGCCTCCCTCAACCACCTGCAAATCACCTGTAAGGGGAAGGAAGTGATTGTGGTCGACTTACTGATTGATGGATATA